GACATTGGGATTGAGACATTGGACGAGGGATTATTTGGGACATGTACCAAAGATTTGGGACATGTACCGAAGACTTGGTTTTGACGACATTCCCATCTTCTTCGTCTAACCCCCCTCTTCTTCGTCTGTGTATGGCTGGGGACTGGCGCACTCTTCCTGTATGAGCGCCAGCCCCTTTCACACCATGGAATGATGATGATGATGATGTATGTTTGGTCTGCATTACGACATTGATTGGTCTGATCATTGGTATATTAGCCTTCCGCTGCACTATCTTGTACTATGTGAGAGAGGTCGGTTCTTGTTCTGGTCTGCACCTTTACGGTATGCGACAGCCCCATAACACTGGCGACAACACACCTGCCATTTGACAGAGCATGAGCACTGCGCTTAAGGAGTTCAATGACAATCCACCCACCTTTTTCCTTTTCTTCCTCGTCCAGTATCTTTCCCCAGACATCAAAGAAGTCATCGACATTTTGAAAGCCACTTGGATCTCTCGCAATCCCCCTAATTGCAGCCTCGCGTTGCTCGGCCTTCTCACGCTGTTTATCGGCCCACCACCTGCATTGCACACACGGAAAACGGAGAACACGTCATCAGGCCTAGCTTAGTTCGTACACCCATGACCTGTTGAAATACAGACCTCGGTTCGAATCCCCAGTTAACTCAGATGAGTAGATAAATTCTGAACTTGCCTACCTTCTTCGCCCGAATACAACGTACGGTCATTATAACTGCATTTGAGGCATCTTTCAGTCTAGATACAGCTATAATGACCGTACATTGTATTCGGGGGAAGAAGGTACAGCTATAATGACTGTACATTGCATTCGGGGGAAGAAGGTACAGCTATATTGACCGTACGTTGTATTCGGGGGAAGAAGGTACAGCTATAATGACCGTACGTTGTATTCAGGGGAAGAAGGTGGGGCCGGGCAGTTTGAAAATGACATCTCAAGGGCGTCGCCTTTCAAAAAAGAGACCAAAGAAAACAGAGAGAACATGCCGTCATGCTCATCATCGCAGTATTTGGACTGAAAATTGCACCAATTACGCGCACAATGACTACGGGTGTTGTATTCAGGTGAAGACGGTAGCCATTAATGTGGGTTGCCAGTACATACGGCCAATGACGCAAGAGACTTAAACCACCAGTTCTTTCGAGGCACTTTTCTCCAGGGCTTCAAATCGACATGCGCGCCAAAAAGGAATGAACCAGCACGGCCTCCTTTTGGCGGCCCCTCCAGCCATTTTGCTCCGGAGGCCAAGCCCCAAAAGTTGTCGCCGCATGCAAGCCGCATATTTTATTCTTTGGCTGGGAAACGTGATGCTGAGTTAAGCCGCCACTGCAATGGCCCCATGGTAACCGCCCGGACGTCCGGACCGGGTTCCAGACAGTCCGGTGTCCGGTGTCTGGTGTCCGGTGTCTGGACAATATGTCTGGATTGAGGC